CTGGAGACCAGTTTTTGTAGGTTGTTCAGAGTAGCTTATTGATAGAAAAGTTCTTTCTGCGATCACCCCCTTAGTTCAGGAAGTCCAGGTGGCAAAGAGTTGTTGTCACTGTAAACGTGGAGAGACTGAGAGGCCAAGTGGGTAACAAAGGAGATGGATTTGGTCCCAGGTAGCCCATGCATGCGGTCATGATGCTCTACTGCATCTAGAGCTTCTTCCAGCATGAAAGATGCTTATGAAGCGGCCAACGACAGTGGGTAAGCTACGTGCTCTGTGTCACAGGACGGTGGGTGTCATCCGCGTTTCGGGCGCTCACACACTGGGTGCTTCGGGCATGGTCCCACCACTGATACTTATTGCCTGGGTCAGTAATTTTCTCTCTTTTTTAAGTGAGCTCTACCCCTCATTATGGGACTCAAACGAATGACCTTGAGATCAAGAGTCACGTGCTCTGCCAACTCAGCCAGCCAGGCAGCCCTGAGCCAGCGCTTCTTAGTGGTAGGAATGGTGGACTGGGCATATGAGAATGACTTTACATACCTTGGGAAAACCCCCGTCCCCCCAGGTGATGTTTATATGACTTATTAAAGGTTCATTTGGAGAATCCTGTTGTAGAAGACTTGTTGATATGGGGGAAAGGGGATTAAAGCAGGTCACAGAATAGTATGTATGGTATTGTCTCATTTTTGTCAACATCTGTACATTTTTGTAAGACCACTAACCAAACCGCTAATTAGAATTCTTTTGCTTTCTCTATTTGCCATCTATCTGGCTTGAAGAGAAAACAAGCAAACTTAAATGAAAGCACTTTCCCAGGAAGTGAACGAGGCCCTGAGGAGCACTTTCTCAGGAAGCGAACGCTTTATTTCAGAAAGTCATTGACAGAGAAGTGGCAGTCTCGAAGTTCTTCATGTTCCAGGAAATCGGCAACCCTTGGAAGAAACAACAGAGAAATTCTTTGCCACAGGTGGTGCTTCAGGGAGAACAAAGATTTCTGGAGAAGCAACACACTTTCTGAAGCAACCTGGCTAACCAGGAAGGCATCTAGTTGGGGCGGGGGGGGAGGGGGCGCGGGGGTGCAAAGCCCAAATTTCAGCTATGCTCTCTGCTCAGATGTAGGAAAAGGAGCGTTCACACTCAAGTTCCTTAGCAACTCAGACCCTTCTCAGTTCCCGTAATCACAGCCCGAGCTCTCAGGCACTGCGTGCGCACACAGGATGTAAGAGAGCGCTCTCGTGTTCACGAGCCGCTTGTCTGCCTTGTGGCAAGAGGCACAGCAGAGACGAGAGAGGGGAACAGGCCAGGGGTCTGCTTCTCGGTAAACTGCCCTGGGTGCGGGCGCACACACGTTGTGGGGAATGCGCGGCCTGCTGTCGGTGGACTGATGATGATTAAGGTAAATATAAAGAGCCAAACATGAAGAGAGAGTAGAGGATACAATTTAACATCATGATCCTAAGCTAAAGGCAGGGGAGATGACACTCTCTGCAAGTCGGACGGGTTTTGCGCTCTATACGACAAACAGCTTTTGCCTTTGTTTTTTTAATGTTTATTTATTTTTGACAGACAGAGAGTGAGTGGGGGAGGGGCAGAGAGAGAGAGGGAGACACAGAATCCACAGCAGGCTCCAGGCTCTGAGCTGTCAGCACAGAGCCCAGCCCGGGACTTGAACTCATGAACCATGAGATCATGACCTGAGCTGAAGTCGGGATGCTTAACCAACTGAGCCACCCATGTGCCCCAAATCTTGGCTTTCTATCCATGACTAAGCCTTCAAGAGAGACACCGCGTTGAAAATATCTGATGTTATTCATTTATCCCACTACTCATTGAGCCGCGGCTCAGGGGCGCATGTCAGGGACACAACATCCTTCTCCCCTGTCGCTTTGGCTCACGTGGCCCCCGGCTCCTGGTCTAAGATGGGGACATCTGTGTCTCAGGTAGCAGGGCAGAGGGGAAAAGAAAGAAGAAATTGCTATCATGTGACATTCCTATTTCCACCTACAAGGAGACCGGAAAATACTGTCTAAGCTTGGCTGCTGTGTGTGAAAATATCGGGACGAAAGAATGGCTGCTGGGGGACAAGCAGTGCTCCCCGCCGCAAGCATCGATCGCAGGGCATCTCAGTCTTGGCAACATGACCTTTTGGGTCGGCTCTCCCGTGCCCTGCGGGGTGGGCTCCGCACATCCCTGGCCTCTGCCTGCCAGGAGCGTCCCCGAGTTGAGACAGCCAACATCCCGGAGCTGCTCAGTGTTCCGGGGGACACCCTTCCTACTCCCTGTTGAGAAACACCGCTCCACAGCGCGCACGGACGATGTCCGTCACTGTGCAGGAGACAAAACCCAACCAAGAGTGAAACAATTTCCGACGGTGATAAGAGCTATGAAAACGAATCAGGCCCGGCCAGGCAGCGCTGGAACGCAGGGCGCATGGTGTGCGCAGAAGCCCTGGAGGAACAGAACTTGGCTCATCAAGAAGAATGGGAGCGCAGGCGCGGGTGCAAGGGAACGGGGAGCCCGGCGGGCCCAGCCTCCCGCGTGCTGGGCAGCAATGGGAGGACTTGGCGCAGGGGAAGGACACCATTTGCGAGAGCGAGCGCGTGCAGGAGAGGAGGAGAGGGATCCGCCAGAGGCGTCCAGGTGAGGAAGGAGGGGCGGGGTTCGGTGGTGGAAGCCAGGCAAAACAGCACTGCCGGAGAAGGACAAAAATAGCAGGTGGCCACGGCACCTCTGACTGACCCAGAGAGCTACCGGGGACACCAAGTGGTGTAAAAGGGCTGTTTCCCACACATTGTACAACTCTGTCCAGCCCGGGACAGATTTGCGCCCTCTGTTCCTGCATTAGTTTCCTACGGCTGCTGTAACAAGTTACTGCAGACTTGGTGGCTGAACACACACATTTTACGGTCTCATAGCTCTGGAATCCAGAAGTCCAACATCACTGGTGTCTGCAGGGTCCTGCTCCCTCAGGAGGCTCTGGGGAACGTGTGTTCCTCGCCTCTGCCTGTCTGGTGGCTGTAGCACTTGTCTCCGCCTGTGTGGTGGCAGTGACTTCTCCTCTATGTTGGTGACATCTTCCCTTTTTCTTGTTAGGGTATCTGTGGCTGTATTTAGGGCCCATCCAGATGATTCAGGACAATGTCTCCACCTCAAGATCCTTAATCACACTGTTCATCATGTAAGTAATACTCACTTTTGCCGTAGAAGAGAGTCTTTCCAGCTTCCGGGGATTAGGATGTGGCTCATTTCTGGGGGTCTGTTTTTCACTTCTGCAGGGCTAGAAATCACTTTGGCTGTAGTGAAGTCACATTTGTTTAGCAATTAAGGTAGAAAGCACCGATGTGATATAATAAAATGTTTAGTAAATTGATGAGAGAAAAGAAAGACCAAAAAAATTGAATTTTTTACAAGCGGAATTTCACGAATTCTACAAAAGGTAGGCCGAAAAATATAAAAGTTCAGAAGAGCTTCGTGGACTTGAGACAAATCCATTCTGGATATTAAACTCGGTGTTTATGAGGACTGCTATATTTATACAGTATAACGTGGGGGTTCGAATGTGAGGTGCATGCCGGGGCCTTGTTAGTAGTGGTGGGCACGGGCTGCCTGGCAGCGGCGGGCACGGATGGGAGCATGGCCAGAAGGCGGTGGACAATGGATGGGGAGCGCAGAACCGGCCCAAGGCACAGAGGCAGAGCGCGACAGCAGGAGCAGGGGTGTGCAAGCGGCTGTGGGTGGGAGGCCCCAGAGGGAAGCAGAGACCAGCACTGGAACCGTAAGCCTGGGTTGGTAGGGGCCCAGGCAGGCTGGGGGCATCAGGAGAGTATCAGAGCAGATAAACTCCAGGCTCTAGACTGGGGGTTAGGGTAACACAGTCACCAGTACTAAGGCCAAGATAGAGCCAGGCCAGCAACTGGGATGATTCATGCCAAAGTCTAGAGCGCTTGCTTAGAACGTCTTAAGCGCTACTTCCTGGAGTCCAGAACCTCTGCAGAACACGTGTTTGTTCAGAACGACAGAATCTGTTAAGCCCCGTGGGTGGTAAGGAGGTGGAACAGGAACTAATGAGCACAGCTTGGGAGGCAGCTCGTTACGGTGACTCTGGAGCCAAGCTTCCTGGTTCAAATCCTGGATAATACTAATCTCAATATTTTGTTTAGCAAATTATCATCAAGTTGTGCACAAACACTAGAATAGTATCTGGGGAACTGGAGTAACTCTGATCCTGGCCCTGAATCTAACCGTCCACGCTTTCGGGAAACTGCTCAAACTTTTAAGGCCTCGGGGTACAGATTTCTAAAATTGAGAGGGTTGTAAGATTACTTAAAGGTACGCTTTTAAGGGCTTTTTGGCAGTCTTTCAAATCTTCATGCTCTTCAAAGGGTGCCCAGGCTTTTCTTGCTGTGAGGTCTAAAAAGTTTTGAGGGTCACTGTATTATCTTAGTGTACATAGTAATCCTGACCTAAAACATTATTATTCCCATTTTGGAGATGAGGAAATGGAAGTCTGGCAAGTTTGAATAATTTGTTCAAAATCACACAGCTAAATTAGTGGTGTAAAGCTGGGATGGATTTGGTATCAGTCCTGCCAATTCTACAGCTGGGTATTTTCCACTTCTTGGTTATTTTGTCATTAGTCTTGATTTCTGGTGTGGGAGGCCAGGCCACGAATGCTCGCTACCATCATATTTATCCGCGGCCATTTCCACAGCGATACTCTGAGCTGTCATTTATTCAGCTCCCTCCTCCTGCGGTGCCCCTTCCCTTACTCACGGTGCCGTCAGCCCATCTGGTCTAACTCCATCGCTCACTCCTGGTAAATGTCTCCTACATGTCTGTGTGCCAGCAGTAGCTCCTGACTTATACCTGAAATAAAAGTCTTATGTATTCGCTCATTTCATCTACGTGACAATGAAAAAATTAAGTATGCATGAAGTTGGTGCTAAAATAAGAAACAACAAAGGATGAAACAAATATCAGGAAAGTAAAAACTCCAGTCATTATTTTCCATTTCTTTTTATACTTAGGTCTTTATGAGACAAGGAAGATGATTTTCATGTCTAAACATTGGAACGACTGAATCATATTAATATAATTATGATCACTGTCATGTTCTAAAGGAAATTCTAAAGGAGTATGAATGGAAAAATAGTACTTAATATTTAGCTTTCAGAATACAGACACAACGCAGAGAAACTGTGACCCCAGGGTACGTATGTTGGAGGTAACATCTGTAGGCTTAGTAACTCTCACGGCGACAGGAAACACTGCTCTTTGGATGTGCTCTACGTTAGCTTTCTAAGTCAAGAATTCCACATGGTTGTAAAATAATTTTAAGTTCAGTGTATGGCAGTTATGCAAATAGATGTAAACTTCATTACCAGATGAATTTTAAAAAGGTATAATGCCTACTTATTATGTGGTGTTAACACAAATGTCAACAGAAACAGTCCAACAGATATAGAAGCACAGTAACAAAAATATAATTATCAGCGTAGCTGTCTTACAAGAGTAAACTACAGTACCCTCAGGCTTATAAAAAAGAACAACTAAGGTCATGTTTTTATATTTCTGCTCTTCATGACTCTTCCCCATATATATAATGACTACTTCTGGTCATCTGTCCTTATTTAATCTATGGACAAATCTGCTGACACTGAATATTGTTTTCAAATACATCAGCATTACTGTCATCTGATTAAACAGATTATTATGACCGAAAACATATCACAGCTTTTAAGGCTATTAATGATTTCATCAACTTAAAAATCTAATTTTGGAAGTCAACTGGCTATAAATTTTTCCTTTTATTGGTAAGCAGTCACTGTCTACCAGTGTTCCTCTTAATATCTTACTTTTTACTTTACTTACTTAATATCTTCCTCTTACTGTTAAGAAGGCGCTTAACAAGCTTATATTTTACAGAAGAGCTGGAATACAGACTTGACAATATATCTGAAATATCATCAAATATTGTGACAACGCCGCTAGGGTAACAGCCTATATGTGGCATTAAAAAAATTATTGGCTGGTCATAAACAGTAGCTTTTACTGGACTGAATCTTATATTGTTCTACATGCTGACATGATAACAAGTCTGTCATCTTCACATGGTGTATTACCATCTTCTTTCAAAGTTCACAGGCCTTTCTTACTGTCTTTCCCCAAACGATTCTGCAAGAAAAACAAATAACTCAGGTAGGTATAGCCAAGAATGAAAAACAGATTCATTGGTACGACAAGGAGTTTTTTAAAATGTGCTCCTTTCTGTGTATAGTTATTAGTTCTGAGAAGAATCAAATATGAAAATAGGGATTGAGAATGTTTCAAACTTAAAAAAAAAAGTTTGTGGGTTTTACTTGAAAAAGAGGGAAAAATAATACTCTTGATAAGTTCATTTGTTTTTCTGCCTTAATCTACTTTGCTTTTGCTTCACAGGTTATACCAGAAAAACAAAATTTCTAAAATTCCCCTCTTACCGACCCAATTAAGATTTTTGGCAAGAAAAGAATGAGGGGAAACAAAAACCCAGATGAGATGGCCGAGTGTGTGTGTGTGTGCGTGTGCGTGTTATGCAGATGTTTGCCAACAGAACTGACTTCTCAAATTATACTCTTTGCTGATCACAAGAGGACTATAAAATATCATTTAAAACTGAAGGAAAATGGAAGAAATTAACCTTCAGAGATCATTTGCACTCGAGAAAGCAAAGTCTACACTGAGGAAAGAAAACCGCATCAAATGGAGTTGCAGTGTTACTGCTCGTACATGAGAAGTTCATCTAGCTCTCGTCCAGGCTGAGTATTTATTAATGCTTTCAGAGTAACTTAAGTAACGTTAACATTAAGCAACCAAACCAGAAGACAGGATTAGAGGAAGTATTTTGAAGGATAAGGCACCACTTTCACATGCTTATATATATCTTACCACTTTAGATAAGTATCACAGCTTTAACTACTGAATGGAAGAAGATATTTGCAAATGACATATCTGATAAGAAGTTAATACAAAAATATAAAGAACTTATTCAGGGCGCCTGGGTGGCTCAGTTGGTTAAGCGGCAGACTTTGGCTCAGGTCATGATCTCATGGTTCACGAGTTCGAGCCCCGCCTCACACTCTCTGCTGTCAGCCCAGAACCTGCTTCAGATCATCTGTCCCCCTCTCTCTCTGCTCTCTCCCCTGTTCATGTGCTGTCTCTCTCAAAAATAACACCAAACTCAACACCAAAAAAACCTAAAAACACCAAAAAACTGAATTAATACGGTTAAAAATGGGTAGAGAACCTGAATAGACATTTTTCCAAAGAAGACCTACAAATGGCCAACAGACACATGAAAAGATGCTCAACATCACTCACCAGGGAAATCAAAACCACTATGAGATATCACCTTACACCTGTCAGAATGATTATCACAAATCAAAACCACTATGAGATATCACCTTACACTTGTCAGAATGATTAAAAGAAAAACCACAAGAAATAACGAAGTGTTGGCAAGGAAGTGGAGATAAAAGAGACCTCATGCACTGTTGGTAGAAAAAGAAATTGGTGCAGCCACTCTGAAAAGAGTAAAACTAAAAATAAAAGTACCATATGACCTGGTATTCCATTACTGGGTATTTAACCAAAGAAAACAAAAATACTAATTCAGAAAGATACATGCACCATGTTTACTGCATTATTTACAATAGCCATGATATGGAAACAACCCAAACATCCATCCACAGGTGAAAGGAAAAAAAGATGTGATGTGTGTATGTGTATATATACATACACATGTGTATGTGTATATATGTGTGTGTATATGTATATATTACTCAGCCATAAAAAAGAAGGAAACTTTGCCATTTGCAACAACATGGATAGACCTAGAGAGTATAATACTAAGCAAAATAAGACAGACAGGGAAAGACAAATACCATATGATTTCACTTATATGTGCAATTTGAGAAAACAAAGTAAAAAAGAAACAAACAAACATACAGAGTCTTAACTGTGGAGAAGAAACTGGTAGCTGCCAGAGGGGAGGCGGGTGGGGGACAGGGGAAGTAGGTGAGGGGATTAAGAGTATACTTGTGATGAGCAACGAAAACGGTACAGACTGTTGAATCGTTATATGTGTCTAAGACTAATATAACCCTGTATGTTAATTATACTTCAATTTTTAAAAAAGGAAGTGATCCTGTACTTATCCAAAATAAAAGTGGACATGATGATGAAGAAGGTCACAGCTTTACTGGAGCTGTTATTCTGGACAAGTGAGGGTTATTCCTCAAGTGAGGGTGACTTTCCAAAATGAGACTTGAAAACTGCCAGGTGCTGATGGGTTTGTGCTGCCCATAAGCCTTAGTGTTGCTTTTTCCTTTCCAGAAGAGAGCCAGGGCAAACAAGGAGAGCCAAAGGCTCTATCTTGAAGAGATTGTTTTCTGATATTTATTTAGTATTTGTAACAGGGAGGAGACCAGATGGGGAAATTCAAATGGATTTAAAAAATACAAAGTGGAGTCTGTTTACAGTAGGAAACCAGCTTTCCCCTCTTCCATCTGTATTTCCTTAATAGTTTAAGTCATTTTATTTCCTTAATAGTTTAAGTCATTTTATGATTATTTTATTTGAAGTAAATCAACTATGTAATACTGAGACAGCTAAATTTCCCAAGAACATTAAGATATAAGTCAATTATTAAGGTTGGTTTGACAACAGAAGTGGAACTCACGAAAGACAACTCGATACAGCATTTTACTATAGATGGCCTGCAACAATCATTTTGCTTCTCAAGTAGCACTCAGAAAGTGAGTATCAAAGTTTTCAAAGAAAATGGGACTCATTTAATGACACTTAAATCACAGAATCTTCTACAAGTTCTCATACCAGACAATGGAGGCTGAGTGGGAAAAAATGTGTCCAATCAAGAAATAACCAGTAGTGTCTTGTAGGGGTAGAGTTTTTCTTGTTTAAAAATACTTAAAGTGCCTTATACAGGATCTGGTTTAATGCTCATAAAGTATCATAATCCTCACTTAAGAAATGAAGAAGCCAAGTGCATGGGTATCAAGTCATCCACCTGAGGTTTGCAGAACTGGCAAAGTATGGTTCTCTCTTTTTTTTTCTTTTAAATTCAAACAGGTATTTATTATGGGAAATTGGTTTTACAGGTGATGAAGCAATAGGTGCACTGGAGTGTGCGGTAGAGTGCCTCAGGGCTTAGTACAAACCCACCGCCATTCTCTGGGCTGCAGGGACAAGGGGAGACACGGTTCTGGATCCCAGGGGCGAGGGCCACCCCGTGGAAGCCACCCCGTGGGTATTGGGGCCACAGAGAGATACGGGCTGCTGCTGCAGATGCCCCTGAAACAGAGCGGGGTAGGGGTGGGGGGTGGAAGCCCCTGGCTTTGCTGCCCCTGCCTTCAGTCCCCTGCTAGGGCTCCCATTGCTGAACCTGCCCCGAAGGCAGCTTGGGAAATGCAGCTCTGTGAGATCGAGTAGAGCAGAAGTGGGAAGACTATGGATCCAAGAGCACAGGCCAGTGACCAGCACAGGCCAAACAGCAGAGTTCCTAATGATGGGGCAGCGGGAGAAAAATTTCCACATTTTGGATTTCAGTTTTTTTAAGTTTGTTTATTTTGAGAGAGAGAGAGAGAGGGAGAGAGTGCAAGCAGGGTACGGGCAGGGGAGCAGGGAAGAGGGAGAGGGAGGGAGAGAGGAGAAGAGAATCCCAAGCAGGCTCCATGCTGTCAGCACAGAGCTTGACACGGGGCTCCATCTCATGAACCGAGAGGCCATGACCTGAGCCAAAACCAAGAGCCGGATGCTAAACCGACAGCCACCCAGACGCCCCAAGATTTCCTGATTTTGTTTTTTTTTAATATTTTTATTTATTTCTAGGAGAGAGAGAGAGAGAGAGAGAGAGACAGCGTGAGCAGGGGAGGGTCAGAGAGAGAGGGAGATACAGGCTCTGAAACCGGCTCCAGGCTCCGAGCTGGCAGTCAGCACAGAGCCCGACGCGGGGCTCGAACCCACGAACCGCGAGATCATGACCTAAGTGAAAGTCGGACGCTCAACCGACTAAGCCACCCAGGCGCCCCTGATTTTGAATTCAACTTTGAATCCTATCAATTTCTAGTTCAGTGACTTTAGGTACATTATATAACATCTCTGGGACTTGTTTCTCTCACCCACAAAATAGGGTATTAAAATATTTTAACTTAGTGGGCTATGATAAAAGTAAATAGAAAAACACAGGAAACCATTAGCTAAGTGCTTGGTCTAAAGCAGATCTTCAATAAAGGTCATTCATTAAATATTTCAAAAAGAAAAGAAGAAATTGGATCAATACATTACATGCAGTAGTGTACAAGGCCCAACTCTCAGCATGGCACCTGGCATATCTGGGATGGGTCATTTTTCAAAGAAATAGGTATAAAAACTACTTTCGTGGGAAGGGACTACTCAGAGAAACTATTTAACATCTGTTAACAAGAATGCATCAGCTCCAAGAAGAAGGGATTTGTGGAGGGGAGAGAAAATAGATTCTCACATATATTCTTCAGGGATTAAGAGAATCAGGAGCTGTTACCACAGCAGGGACATTCAGCAATCGCCACTGGCCGTAACAAAATGAGGGAATATTCCTGCTTCTCTTTCCTCCGTTCAGGGATCTAAACATTTCTGCATTCCGGTAAAGTCCACTGGTGGGATATGCATCCTTTTGACCTCACAAATGGGAGGGGAGAAAAAAGTTCTATTTATAGGCAAAAGGCTTCTGAAGTGTTCTTTCATTTTCCATGGCAGATCTTGAAGGACGCCCTGGAGAAATACTCATCCTGCCATGGTGAAGTCAGCAATTTCAGGACCCATGTTTCAGAGATGGGGAAAAGGTGGTCTTGTTGAGAAGCTGACTGTCTACTCCGGACCATGTGAACTGGGCTCTCCGGGGCCTGGGTCTGAGGCACACAGGGGATCACCCTTCTCTGGAGTGCCCTACTGTCAAAGGTTGGTTAAATCAAACATGCAACTCAACTAGGGCTACCAGATCATAAATGCGCTCTGGATTCCTAAATCAAGGCCAAAGTGGCTGGTTGAGAATAAGTCATTCTTAGAGCAAAACTCTGACAGAGGAATGTATACTGATGATAATAATTGTAACCGGTAACATTTCTTGAGTGTTTCCTATCAGCCAGGCACAGTGCTAAGTTCCCCACACATTCTATTTAATTCTAGCCACAACCTGGTGGACCAGGTGCTATTATTATCCTGGTTTTACAGGTGAAGAAAAGTCGGCTGCAGAGGGGTACCCTAACCTGCTGGGGATCCCACAGTAGGAGACTCAGAGTCACCCCAGGTCTGTCTGACTCTAAGGCTTGTGGGTATAGTATCTGCTCGCTTCTCGCCAGATGACGTGCGGGACCCTGGAGATACGATGACCAGGAAGATACAGTGAACTGAGTCCTGGGACCAGGGTTTCATAACTGCACAGTTGTAATTGCTAAAAAGCCCTGATTGAGGGACACCTGGGTGGTGCAGGTGGTTAAGTGTCCGACTCTTGAGCTCAGGTCAGGATCTCACGGTTTGGGAGTTCGAGTCCCCACACTGGGCTCTGCGCTGAGGGTGCAGAGCCTGCTTAGGATTCTGTCTCTCCTCTCTCTGCCCTTCCACTGCTTATACTTTCTCTCTCAAAATAAATAAACTTAAAAAAAAAAAAAAAAAAAAGACTGATTGAAAAGTACTAAAAGCTGCCAAATTCTTAGGATAAGCCCAACGTGAAAGAGGAGAAGCAGAGGCCCTCCATCTCAGGAGGGACGGGCAGGACCAGTGCTGCCTCAGGAACGGCGACTCCCCGAATTCTCCGACGTGTGGTCAGAGAGTGGCTGGGAATCAGTTCAGAGCAGGGCCTGGCAAACCAAGAGGGAGGGACGGTGAAGCTAAGCGTGGATGCGGGCAGGGCACGGACTCTGCTGGCCCGGAGCGGAAGAGAAAGGCGCTGGGAGGGGCGAGCGGCAGTGAGCAGGGGGCTCAGGCTGTGACCGTGTTTTGGCATGCGCAGAGCAGCATGGCCCACAGCACACCGAACTGTTTACAGGACCAGCTTGTTTTTCAATGCTGCCATTTTTGTGGCTCAGTTCTTTTGCTTAAAATCCTACTAAAACTAGAATGCAATAAGCTAGCATGTCAGTAATTCTCTATGTGACAACTACTTATATTTTCATGTGATATTCTCATCTTCATCCTCTCGGTAAAAATCTGGTTTCCTTCATCATTTAAAAAAAAATTTTTTTTTTTTTTTTAAGTTTTTGAGAGAGACAGACAGAGAGACAGACAGCATGAGCAAGAGAGGGACAGAAGGAGAGGGAGCCACAAAATCCGAAACAGGCTCCAGGCTCTGAGCTGTCAGCACAGAGCCCGACGTGGGGTTCGAACCCTCGAGCTGCGATATCATGACCTGAGCTGAAGCTGGACGCTTAACCGACTGAGCCACCCAGGCGCCCCTCTCTCATCATTTTTAAAAAGCCAGGATAGGGGCACCTGGGCAGCTCAGTCAGATGAGGGTCCGACTTTGGCTCGCTCAGGTCATGATCTCATGGTTCATGGTTTCAAGCCCCGCGTCGGCTCCGTGCTGACAGCTGAGAGCCGGGAGCTGCTTCGGATTCTGCGTCTCCCTTGCTCTCTGTCCTTCTCCCACTCATGCTCTGTATCTCTCCATCTCTCAAAAATGAATAAACATTAAAAAAAAAAATTTAAAGAGCCAGGATTGAGTACATCTTCTTGATCTGGGAAGGACAAATGACCCAAATAGTTGACTTAGTGATTACTATTTCAAAAAACTTAGGTCCATAAAGTAGGTGTCACCCACCTGAAGTTCTGAGTGTTCTTTCAGAAGTCGATCATATTCTTTTGAAAGTCTCTCTGATTGTATTTTCATTGTCATCACATCATTCTGTGCCTTAGAAAGGGCTGGAAAACATGGAACAGAATTAAAAACTTTTTACTTTGAAATAATTTTAAATTTACAGAAAAGTTGCAAGATTTAAATAGAAAACTCCTTTGTAGCTCTTACTCAAATTCACCAACTGTTAAGATGCAGTACATGTGTTACTGTATTCTCTTTCCACACACGCACAACTGTTTTCTAGAACCATTTGAGAATAAGTTACAGACATCATGCCCCTTTACTCCTTAATACTTCAGTGTGTATTTCTTGGGGCGCCTGGGTGGCTCAGTCGGTTAAGTGTCTGACTTTGGCTCAGGTCATGATCTCACAGTTTGTGAGTTCGAGCCGTGCATCGGGGTCTGTGCTAACGGCTCAGAGCCTGGAACCTGTTTCAGATTCTGTGTCTCCCTCTCTCTCTGCTCCTCCCCAACTCATGCTCTGTGTCTCTTCTTCAAAAATAAACAAACATTAAAAAAAATAAAAATTAAAGAAATTAAAAAACTACTACTTCATTGTGTATTTCTTTTTTAAAAATATTTTATTTATTTCTTTGTGAGAGAGAGACAGCGTGAGCAGGGAAGGGTCAGAGAAAGAGGGAGACAGAGAATCCTAAACAGGCTCCAGGCTCTGAGCCTGTCAGCTATGTCAGCACAGAGCCCTTATGTGGGGCTCGAACCCATGAACCGTGAGATCATGACCTGAGCTGAAGTCGGACGCCCAACCGAGCCACCCAGACGCCCCTTCATTGTGTATTTCTTAAGAACAAAGGTATTCTCTAAAATAATCAGAGCACAGTTAGCAAACGTAGAAAATTTAACATCAGTACTTTTTATCTAATCTACCATTAATATTCCAATCTTGGGTATTGTCTCAATCATGGGTTTTTATCACTTTTTTTGAATCTAGATCCAGCCCTAGATCAACGATTAGCATTATGTTGTCACGTTTCTTTGGTTTCCTTCAATCTGGAATAGTTCCTTAGCCAACCCCCTGCATTCCTCTCCCCTTTCATGACACTGACATTTTAAATATGGGTCACTTTTTTTTTTGAGAGAGCAAGCTGGGGAGGGACAAAGGAAGGGGCGGGGACAGAGGATCTGAAGTGGGCTCTGTGTTGACAGCAGACACCCTGATGCAGGGCTTGAATTCACAAACCATGAGATCATGACCTGAGCTGAAGTCAGATACTTGGCCAACTGAGCCACCAAGATGCCCCGAGGCCACTTTTTTCTTAAATGGAATGTTTTTCATTTTGGTTTTGTCTGATGTTTCCTCATGATTAAATTCAGGTTATGCATCTACCTTACATACAAATATGACATAAATGACGCTGACTGTCTCTCAAGATATCACATTGAGAGACCCATCTGCCTCTGACAGGTTTTTCCATTTTATACTTATTTTCTTCCTTGTAAACTAAGAAGCAGTGGGTGGGAAGACAAGACTATGTAAGTATCCTGTTCCTTGTGAAAACTATCCCCTCATAGTTAGCATCCATTGAAAAGTCTTGCTTAAGGGCTCCTGGGTGGCTCAGTCGGTTAAGCACCTCACTTCGGCTCAGGTCATGATCTCACGGTTCGTGGGTTCAAGCCCCGCGTCGGGCTCTGTGCTGACAGCTCAGAACCTGGAACCTGTATCAGATTCTGGGTCTCCCTCTCTCTCTGACCCTCCCCTGCTCACACTGTCTCTCTCTCTCTCTCAGAAATAAATAAAACATTAAAAAACTTTTTTATAAAAAAAAATTCTTGCTTAAACCAATAACCCAATCTTTATTGTGATGGTAGCATACTGGCGATTTTCCAACTTCATCATTCCATCCACATTTACCAGTCAGCATTCTAAAGAAGGGCTTTCCATTATCCATCCATCCATAACATTACTAAATATTTATGCACCTAACATAGAAGCACCTAAACATATAAAGCAAATATTAACAAATGCAAAGGGAGAAACTGAAAATAATACAATAGTAGGGACTGCAGCATCCATTTACATCAATGGGTAGATCACCCAGACAGAGAATTAATAATGAAATACTGGTCTTAAATAACACATTGGACCAGGTGAACTTAATACATAGAGAGGATTCCATCTAAAAACAGCAGAATACACATTATTTTCAAGTATACATGGAACATTCTCCAGGACAGATCACATGTTAGGCTGCAAAAGAGGTCTCAATAAATTAAAGAGGACTGAAATCCTATGAAGAATCTTTTCTGACCACAATGGTAGGAAAGTAGAAATTCATGACAAGAAAAAAAAAAAACAAACTGGAAAAAACACAAACAAATGGACGCTGAATAACATGCTACTAAACTACCAACGGTCAGTGAAGAGATCAAGGAAGAAATTAAAAAAAACCCTTTGAGATTAATAAAAAGGGAAATACAGTGTTCTAAAATCTACAGGAGGCAGCAAAAGCAATTCTAACAGGGAAGTTTATAGCAATACAGGCCTACATCAAAAAACAAGAAAAATCTCAAATAAACAATCTAACCTTTACACCTAAGAGAACTAGAAAAAGAACAAACACTGTCCAAAGTTAGTAGAAGGAAGAAAATAATAGAGTGCAATTAGTGACAGAGAGACTAAATAAGCAACAGAAAAGATCTATGAAACTAAGAGCTGGTTCTTTGAAAAGATAAACAGAATTAATAAACCTTTACTCAGACTCATCAAGGAAAAGTGAGAAGATTCAAATAAAACTAGGAATGAAAAAAAGTAACAATACTATTATCTTTTAAAGGATTATAAAAGACTATTAAAAATCATATGCCAACAAATTGGCCAGCCTAGAAGAAATGAATAAATTTTTATAAACATAAAATCTTCCATGATTGAATCCGAAAGAAATAGAAATTCCGAATAGACCAATTACTAGTAGTAAAACCAGAGTAATAAAACTCCCCAAAAACTAAAATCCAGGACCAGATAGCTTCATAGATGATTTCCACCGAACATTTAAAGAAGAGTTAATCCCTATCCTCCTCAATCTATTCCAAAAAAATAAAATTTAAAATTTAAAAAAATGAAGAGGATAGAAAACCTCCAAATTCATCCTCTGAGGCTAGGATTACCCTGGTACCAAAATCAAAGACACAACAGAAAAGAAAACTACAGGCCAATATTCTTAATAAATACAGGTGGAAAAATACTCAACAAAATATTAGCAAACTGAATCAACAATACCTTAAATGATCATATACCATGATCCAGTAAGATTTATTCTAGGGATGCAAGGATGGTTCAATACCTGAAATCAATCAATGTGATACATCACATTAAAATTTAGGATAAAAATCATATTATCATCTCAACAGATGGAGAAAAAGTGTTTGACAAAATTTAACATCCATTTATGATAAAAATCTCAACAAAGTGGATACAAAGAAAATGTGCCTCAACATAATAAAGATCATATATGACAAACCCAGATCTAACATCACACTCAACAATAAAAAGATTTTTCCTTCTAAGATCAGGAACATGACAAGGATGCACTGTCACCACTTTTATTCAACATAGTATTGGAAATCCTAGCCACAACAAGTAAGCAAGACACCCATTTCTTTCTCCCTTTCTCCCTGCTTTCCTCCCTCCCTTCCCTTCCCTTTTTTCCTTCCTTCTCTCTCTCTCTCTTCCTTCCTTTCCTTCTCTTTCTTTTCTTTCCTTCTTTTTTTTTTCCTTTAGAGAGAGAGAGAAAACACGAGTAGGGAGAGGGGCAGACAGGGAGAGAGAATCTAAGCAGGTTACACGCTCAGTGTGGAGCGTGATACAGGACTCAATCTTACCACCCTGGGATCATGACCTGAGCTGAAATCAAGAGTCAGACACTCAAACAACTGAGCCACCCAGGCACCCCAAGAAATGGCATTCAAATTAGAAAATAAAAAAGTAAAACTCACTATTTGCAGATGATATGATACTATACATAGAAAACATTAAAGTGGTTTTCCAGGTTTTCCAGGTTTTCTAGCCTATCTAGAAGTTTCTCCTGATTACTACAAGTATGAAGCTATGACAAAACAAATGCAGGCAAAATGTGGTTTTTTGGTGCTTATCAAGCCAAGGTACGAACTGTGTTTCCTATTTTGTTTTGTATTTCAGTAGATATTAGTCAGCTATCTTACTAATTTTAATAAACTGTCTTATTTAATTCACTCCAATTAAGAGAGGCTGTTATTGTCCTTTTGGACTGTTTCCCAGTCCTTTCTCCATCTCTTGTTTTATAAAAATTACAATATTCTGTTTTAGATGCCTTGTACCTCCTTGTGGAACTGCCTTCGTGACTAAGGGATTATATAAGCTTGTTATCTGACATTTACATATGCTGATTTCATCTTGAATCATTTTATTTTGGAGGCAGCATTTATAGGAAAGACATTATTAAACAAGGAGGTTTGAGGTGATATAGCTAAGTCACTATTTGAAGTTTCTCATCTGCAAAAAAGAGTTGCTATCATTTGCTGGTGGCTTTATGGAAATGTGGAGATAGTTCATGAGAATACTGGCCAGATTCAGAAACCTGGTTACGTCCTAGTCACTCAGAACTTTCTGAGGCACACGCACCATTCATTAACATAGAGAATAACCCCAACTAACGTTATAGCGACATGTAGTTAGCCCAAATGCTCGTGTGATGTATTTGTGTAAAATGACATGTAAGCAGAGCAGGAGAAGCCCGTGAGACCAATACACTGTGTACACATATCACTGTGATGTCTACCTGAGTTAACGGGAACTACTAGCTAAGCTCTGCCAGGAAACGGAAAAGAATTTTTAGAGGCATTAACAAGACAGCTAAAGTTAGCTGTTGTACAATAGTTACAAGGATTGCACCAGAGGAAACCATTTTTAATTTGAAATTTTTCCACACATCTAGTCAGTGTTGGTTTCTTTTCAGTTTATTTGGCTCTATTTCTGAGACCTTGAGAGTGTGATATATTAGAATTATTTAATTTAATACTTAATTTTCACATGTACCACTCTTTCACCAGTGGTCAATGACCGGTCCGGTAAT